AAATTAAGAATAAGCACAAAAACAAACAAACAATCCAATTAAAAAATGGGCAAAGGACCTGAATAGACACTTCTCCAAAGAGAACACACAGATGGCCAATAGACATATGAAAAGATGCTCAAATCAGTAATCATCAGAGAGATGCAATGTAAAACTACAATGAGATATCACCTCATGCCTGTCAGAATGGCTATCATCAATAAATCAACGAACAAGAAGTGTTGGTGAGGATGTGGAGAAATGGGAACCCTTGTGCACAGTTGGTGGGAATGCAGATTGGTGTAGCCACTGTGGAAAACAGTATGGAGTTACCTCAAAAAAATTAAAAATGGAACTGCCTTATGACACAGCAATTCTACTTCAGGGCATTTATCCACAGAAACCCTAAATACTAATTTGAAAGAATATATGTACCCCTCTGTTCATTGCAGCGTTATTTACAATAGCCAAGATTTGGAAGCAGCTCAAGTACCCATCAGTAGATGAGTGGATAAAAAAGCTGTGGTACATTTACATAATGGAATACTTCTCGGCTATAAAAAGGAAGAAAATTGTACCCTTTGTGACAGCAGGGATGGACCTGGAGAACATATGCTAAGCGAAATAAGCCAGTCAGAGAAAGACATGTACCATGTGATTTCACTCATATGTCCAATTTAATGAACAAAGTGAACTATCAAGCCCAATAGAGAGAGACTCGTGGAGAAAGAGCAGGCAAACAGCTCTGGTAGAGAGGATGTTGGGGATAGGGGTTGAGAAAAAAAGAGAGAGAGAACTCATGGACATGGACAAAAGTATGGTGATTGCCAGGGGCGGGGTGCAGGAGGTAGGGGGTAGGTAGAGGTGGAAGAAGGCATAGAGGGAGGGGATACATGGTGATGGAAAAAATAAAATAAACTAGCAGAAAAGTTAAGAATAAGCTAATAAAAATTACAAATTGGTTAAGAGATAAATTTGAGCTAATGCAAAAAGTTCAACTGTTATAAATAATTAGTGATTAAAAACTCAAATAAGTTAAATGTGTCCTTATAAATTCAAGGATAGAGATTTAAAATGTATTTGTATCTATTTAACTATTTAATGAAAGTATTTAAAAATAATTTCATTTATTTTAAAAGCCTGATTTAAAGTCTTCACTCCATTTGGTTTTCTGCACAAGGGCTTTAATACATGCATTTTATAGAACACATTTACATACACAGTGAGAACTGGCTACTGCAATTCTTTCTTAACCAACAGGTTAGTAACCAGTATAAACTATGATTATATATATGAGAATGGAAGACCGCCTAAGTTCAACTCTTTAGGTTCCACCACTTCCTGAGGTTCTTAAGCAAATTATTTTGTGTCTTGGTTTATTCATCTGTAAATGGGAGTAACTGGTATAAGTACCTACCTCATAGAATGATCAAATGGGACAATCTATATACTTAGAACAGAATTTGGCATACATTAAATACTCATTAAAAGTCAGGTATCACTAGGCTTGCTTTTTATTGTACAGATTTTCAACAACTCAAAGACACACCAGTATGCCTTGTAATTACCGTGGCACTAAGTGGATATGTCACTCTCTGGCTCAAACCCTACCAGTGGCTTCCTATCACACCTGGGCTAAAATTCAAAGTCCTTGCCATGAACAAAGTGAACTACCAAGCAAAACAGAGACAGACTCATGGATAAAGAGCAGGCAAACAGCTCTGGTAGAGAGGGTGTTGGGGAGGGGCGTTGAGAAAAAAAGAGAGAGAGAGAGAGAGAGAGAGAACTCATGGATATGGACAAAAGTATGGTACATGACCTGGCTTATCGTTCTCTCTCAGACCTCACTGCCAGGTTCGGTATTTTTGTACCTGCTATTCCCTCTGCTTTAAACACCCTCCACAGGCCTTCACTTCACGTGGTCTTCTGTTTATATGTCACTGCAGAAAGGTCTTTCCTACCAACTCCATCCAAAGCACTTTCTGCCATTCCTTCCACTAGCGCTTTATCTTCTTTCCTGCTTTATTTTCCTCTATAGTTGTAATTAGTGCTGGCCTCACATTATAGGTATTTATGCATTTGTTTTTTAATACATCTTCTCCACTAGAATGTAAGCTCCATGCATTTAGAAAATGCATGTTACTTACACATAGCTATATCCTACATTCCTAAAACTGCCTGCGTTTAGGAGGCTCTCAATAAATAGCTGTCAAACAACTGAATTAAGTAACTAAACAAGATACAAATATGTATAACATATGGTCTATCTCCTTAAGGGGTTAGACTCTTTTATGGAAGAAGAAACATTGACAACTATTATAATACCCTAGAGGCCCAATGCACAAAATTCGTGCAAGGGGCTTGGCCCCTGCAGCTGCGGCAGCTTGCCTCAGCCCTCACAGCCCCAGCTTCATCTGGAAGGCCGTCTGGAAGGTCGTTCAACTGTCCAGTTTAATTAGCATATTATGCTTTTATTATTATAGATTGCCTCACTCACTTTAAATTTTGAAGTGATTGCTAAAGTGAGTGTTAGTTTTTATCTTCATCCAAGAGTTAACTATTAGATTAAAAAGCCTGTTCTGTACATTCATTAAATTGAGAACAGAGGTAACAACAGTGTTCATCTAGTCTCTGGTAGTCAGACTATGTCTTGTGCATCACGAAGTACATGCTTAACTGCAACTGGAATGCGGCTAACAAATATTTCATTTGACAGATCTACTCAGACAAGGCTAATATGCAGTTGTAATTCAGATGCATTGCTTTTCTATTCATTTAATCATCTAAACAGGTGAATGAGAAGCTCTGAGTCATAATCTTGTCTGGTACAGAGATGCTGAGGAGGGGGAGGGAGAAGCAAGTGGTTGTAGGAACTGACTCCACTGAGAGCATGAGGCTCACATTCCTGAAAACTAGTTGGTGACACAACTCTACCTTTCATTTATACAAGGAATGAGACAGATCTCCTTCCCATCTGTATAAAACCCACAGGCTTACTTTGATGCATAAGGGAAAGAACAACTAGCAAAGGAAAAACGTGAAAGTATCAGATTGAGAAGACACCATCTTTCCTAAATTGTAAGGCTTTTGAATGTTCCCATTCGACTGTTGCTGCTTTTACAGTTAATCCCAACTAGATCAATAAATGGCTCTCAATGCTTGTTTTCCTCAGGACTTCTGGCTAGTCCTGATGATCAAACAGCAGGGCTTATACCTGCTAATTATGCAAAAATTCTTGGTAAAAAAAAAAAAAAGAGGTAGAAAAACACTGGAATCCATTATGATTTTCAAAGCAGCAACAATCTTTGACTCACACAACACTAATTAAAGGAGCCACAGCTGCTGATTCTTTGGAGGCTGCCTCTGAATCCATTTTTGTTGCAATTAGTAAGCTTCCAGTTGCACCTGACGCCATAGGAAACATGGAGATAAATAAAATCTTTGATATCTTTCATGTTTGCTTACACTTGAACTATAATTTTTTTAAAATGTAGAAATTAATAATTTCTTAAAAGAAATTATTCTACAATCCAATGAATACATTTATTAATCACTATTCCAGGTGTTCTGCTGCTAGAAATTGTTGAAGTTGTATGCTAGTATGTTGGCCCAATGACCTGGTTATAGTTCACAAATTATTGGACATAAGGATGTTTGTTTCAACTAGATTTTAAGATTATGAAAACTGGTATATTTTCATTTATTTAAAATCCTATGTTTATTGAAAGATTAAGAGTGATGAACTACAAAATATACTACTTGCTACAGTAGGGATTATTAATGCTTTTTAAAATTCTATGTTAATTGTCTTAGAATCCTCAGAAATTGAGTGCTAACATATGAGAAAAAAGGCTAACTTTTTACAACTTCAATTATATTAAGTAATAAAAATTTTCTGATCACACACACAATTTACTTTCCTCAGGAGCAAATACAGTGGGGCCTTAACTTATGAGTTTAATTCGTTCCGAGACCGAGCTCGTTAAGGAGCTCATTAACTCAAATTACTCTATCAACTCAATGTAAAAAATCAGCGGAGACACAGCTGGTATCTCAAAAAACTCGTTAGTCGGGACACTTGTAAGTCAAGGCCCCACTGTATACCAATTCATGGTCAATGAACACAATTTTTGTAAAGGGTCATAGTCAAACCCATTCATTGTTTTTAAAAAACCCTTCCAAATTAAGGCAGTAAACAAAATGATTGTGTAGTTAATGTTTTACACCATCAATATATCTTAGTTTCAGATAGATCTCTCACACACAGACACCACCTATTATCAGGGAACGCATAATCCTGACTTCCATATTGATTAGTTATTTGATGTCAAGTACTAGTGAGGGAGAGACCATTTCCTCTTGCTCTGATTTAACACTCACAGGTGGGGAAACAAGGCAGGAAAGATAAAACAAGGCCTGATAGTCTGGGCAATCTGCAGCCAGCTTGTAACTAACATCTTCCCCAGCAAGGACACAGAGCAAATAGTTAAAGAAAAACTCTCTAATGAGAGAATGCAGAGAGGGAGGGGGAAAGGGGAAAGGAAAAAAGGGCAGTTTTACTCCCTAGGAGCCAGCAGTCTCAAGGCTTGGCAAGATAAAGTCGCCAGGTGCTTCTCATGAATTCTGGGGAGGTCACAACAAAGTAAAAAAGGGGTGGGGGGGACCTTGAGAATGAATCTGTACCAAAATAATCAGCAAGGAATTTCAAGAACTATAGACAGGAGGGCATATAACACCTCAGACCACCACCCAACTTGCTCTTCACAATAGCTGAGAGCCTTTCTGTGCTTCATAAGCCAGATGTTTAAGTTTGCTTTGCTTTTTCAATAAAGGTGCATGCTTTAATTGCGTTAATAAATTGGCTTTTCACAACGCAGCCAAGGTCTCTCATATAAACTCATTTATATGAGAAGACAAGGATCACGGTTGGGGACAGCCCTCTCCCACTGACTCAGGGGGCTGTCCTGTCCGGGAACAGCTCTCGGGTGTCGGCGAGAGGTGCCTATAACACATCCACCCACCAGCCTTAGGTAGTTCTGCAGTACCTGAAGAGGGATCAAAGATGTGTACGTCACACTACTGAGGCAGCCTTCCTGAGGACCTGCAAGAAGGAAAAATACAGAGGAGCACTGGCTCTGGTTGCCGGATTCAATAATTTACTGTTTATAAGCAAATGTTAGCAGAGCTTAGTTCCAATCCTCGGAAAGTTCTAGCCTTGCCCGGCATTAATGCACAGGTTGGGGGGGGGGTCTCCCTTATTTTTCATTTTTTAAAATATATTTTTATTGATTTCAGAAAGAGAGATAGAAACATCAATGATGAGAGAAAAATCATTGATCAGCTGCCTCCTGCATGCCCCACACGTATAAGCTGGCAACCTGGGCATGGGCCCTGACCAGGAATTGAACCAGGATGTCCTGGTTTATAGGTCAAAGCTCAACCCCTTTAAACCTCAATAAGTATAGTTAAAACAACAAAATCAAACTTTATTACTTGAAATTGTAAAGACTCCATTCCCAAGTCTAGGAAGTACATGATGATATCTATAGCCACAATTTCCTTGTATATAAAAATGAGGATAAACAGAAATATGTATCTTCTTGGGTTGTTATAGGGTTTAGCGAATTTATACTTTTAATGTGCCATACACAACAGGGCTTAACACATAGTAGGTACTCACTACACATTAATTTGTACCATTATAATGATCATATTGATCATACACTGTACTACTTGACAGTAACAAACTTCTTTTAACTTTCTGTCACTCTCTTATCAGCACACCAGTTTGGCCTCTGGCTTATTCCTAATGAGATGCAATCAAACTCATAGGAGTCAACAATCAAGACATCACCACCGGTGTCAACAACTTGGCTTTTGATTTTTCCTCCCCTTGTTCCAAAGAACACTGATTAGTTAGCAGTGGGAGTCAGATACGCATGGCTAGAGAATGCAGGACAAAACATGCAGGTTTAAGAACTGGTACTTCGGAACAATCATAAAACAAAAGCTCAGTCAACATTGTCTCAGTTTAGAGTGTCTTTACCTGACGAAAGCACAGTGACTGGCTCTGCTTTGTTCTTTTTCATGAAGTCCCGTGGGGGCAGGGTGTGGCTCTGACCCACTGACCATGGCACATCTCCTAGTTCAAAAAAATGACAATGTCAGGAGAAGATGAAAATGAATTTTTCTTATAAGGGTTGATGCATGATCTCCTCTGTGAGAACTCTAAGGAATCCAAAGGCATGTACAGAATTTGTGAACGGTCACAGGGAGTTAACTTTTGTTGAAGGACAAGAGGAAGACCTTCAAACTACAGGCTTCTCCAAAGCTGTCCTAAGGAGGGACTTTCGTAGTTCTTCCAGTGCCTGCTTCATAAAGGCCACGCACTCTGGAGCCCGGTCCCGGCCTCCCTCTCCAGCAAACCTTTAGATTCCAGAAAGCACACACACATAACCTCAGGTGCTCAGGATAAGACAAGCCTTCCCAGAGTCTGGGCCCTCTTGAGAACTTGTTTTCTTCTCTTCCCTTCCACAGATCAATTCCTAGATACCCATTCTCAGCATGTCCTAACATACAGGTCCTACCCCACCTGTAACTTCCTGTTATCTGTTGGCCTGGGTCCTTTTAATCTAGCTTGGGTTATCAACCCAGTAAAATCCCTTATATGCATATATTAATAACAATAATAGTGTAGTTACTAATTATTAGTGGTTACAGCCAGGTGCTAAATGAAACCCAGCACCCACAAAAATCAATGGTTTTAGACCTGGAATTCTACTGGAGTACCTCACCCTCATTGATTAGTATGAACAGAAACCATGGTTCAGAAGTAAATCTATCCGCTGGTTGTGAATACCCAGTTGCCTTTGTCAGTTTCCAGATTAACTGGATGAAGGCTGATGTAGGGGCCCATTACCTTCAAAACATGGCTGTGCTGACTTCATTTATTAGACCCTTTAGGCTAACCTACCCCTTGAATAACACTCGGTTTAATGGGAAAAATGTGACCAAGAGAATCATTTCTGATTTCTTTCTTTTTTTTTTTAAAGTAGGAGATTTTTTTTAAAAAAAATATATATTTTATTGAGTTTTTACAGAGAGGAAAGGAGAGCGAGAGAGAGAGTTAGAAACATTGATGAGAGAGAAACATCGACCCGCTGCCTCCTGCACACTCCCCACTGGGGATGTGCCCGCAACCAAGGTACATGCCCCTGTCCAGAATCGAAGCTGGGACCTCTCAGTCCGCAGGCCAACGCTCTATCCACTGAGCCAAACCGGTTTCGGCCTGATTTCTTTTCTTAATGCAATTATTTAACTACATGTATTTTGTGATAATTATGGTAATTTTGCCAAACCGGTTTCGCCAAAGAGCCATAAAATGCCAGAGCCATAAAATGAAGTTGTGAATAATTTGCTTTATTTATTCTTTATATATTTTTATTGACTTCAGAGAGGGAGAGGTACAGAGAGAAACATCAGTGATGAGAGAGACTCACTGATTGGCTGCCTCCCTGGCTGTGCCCTGACCGGGAATCGAACCGTGACCTCCTGGTTCATAGGTTGACGCTCAACCACTGAGCAATGCTAGCATGGCTGTGAGTAATTTACTTTAAAATCTAGCAGTAATATATGTTTTGAAAGTGAATTAGCATTTGTGAGTGAACTGACAAAGGCCCTTTTTACTATAACAAGCCTACACATTAATAGCATGGTGAAAAGCACCCTTCTCCCAAATTGGACCATGCTTTTGCAACATGGTGCTGTTGAAAGTGTACAGGCTTTCCTACCAGATAGACTGGGGTTTGAGTGCTGCCTCATTCGCTCGTTAGCTGTGCCTTCAGGAAGGTCATTGTGTAACTTGTCTAGCTATCTATACAATGAGCCTGTTGCAGGGACCCACTGAGGTGCTGCTATAAAGCGCCCAGCAAAGGTTTGGCATAGTGGCAGCAGGTTCCTGCAGATGTTTGTTCTGGTTTAAGAGAAAAAAAACTAACCAGGGATAACTAGCCTTTACAGAGCTCTTATTATGCTCACGAGAAAGCAAATGCTATTTTCAGAAGGTCCTCAGAGGCTATTTCATGGAGCCTACTGAACGGGAATAACCAGTTATCATCCTGATTCATCCCATGTGGGAGCTTTGAATATATCTTCATTAAAATGCTTTTTCCAATTCTAGACTTCATTAAGACTCCTGTCCTTGGAGGTAAGGTGTTAATGGATTACAGATATCCTGGAATAGCCCAAGGACAAATTTGGAGGTGTGTTCAGAACCTGTGCATTAGCAAGCAGCTGTAATGTGGTTAGTTTCATGCATAATCTAGAAGAGCAAGTGCAATCACAATACCACACCGCGGGCTTTCATATTCTTTACTCTCTGAGTATCATCTGAGGCATAAACACATTTTTATACTAATGTTATGTAATGGCTGCATTGTGAATACTCAAGTGTCAGCACCAGCAGCTGCCACAAGTGAGTTTTTAATGTGTTTAATCAGTAAACTAAGTCTCAGGTTATGAAGCCCATAAGCATAAATGAACCTGAAAATCTAACTTGCCCTTCATTGCAGGGTTGTTGATACCTAGCATGATGGATTGCACACCGCTTGCACTGAGGCCGATGCTGGAGCTAGTGGTGTTATTGTCCGTCACATCTTCCAGACTCCACCATTCATCAGGAGAGATGGCTTTGAAATGACTTGTCAGAGCTTGACTCACTGCTTTTGAAAAATCATCCCCGGATGACTGTTTGCGGATTCTTAGAGCATCGATTG